CCCGTCAGTTTTCAACAATTTTGACTTCGAAACGTGCTTCGCGGCACAACGGCGTGCACTTCTTCGACATCTCAACTTCCAAAAGCGGTCCAACGCTGAGGTGCTTTGTACATTTTGACTTCGAAATGTGCTTCGTGCCCTAACGGTGCGCTTTTTCAACCTCTCTACCTCCCAAAGTGAACTGCTTTTAGCGTTTTGACTTGGAAATATGCTTCGTGCCACAACGGCCTGCACTTTTTCGACATCTCAACTTCCAAAAGTGCTCCGAACATGAGATGCTTTGTACACTTTGACTTCGAAATGTGCTCCGCGCCGCAACTGCGTCCAGTTTTTCATCTCTCATCTGACCAGATGGGTCCGCACCCGCCGCTTTAGCGAGCCTACTTTTCGACCCTCCGGAGCCACAAATCATTGGAAAAACACAGTGAATCGCGACTTTTCTACCTTTTCGCGCACCTGCATCTTCTTTCTTCTGACTCTTTCTCTTCCCTGATCTTCTCTCTTCTGCCCTTCTCTTCTCTGATTCTTTCCACCTCTGCTTTTCCATCTCTCCATATGGTCGGAAGTTTGACTTCTAAACTTCCTTCGATCATGCAAGATTCTGCAAGATCCAGGATGTCCAGGATGGCATTGGGCAATGCAGGGTAAGAGTTGAGGTCAAGGCAAGGCGCACAAACCGGATCACTCGCAACCTCCACGCAGACCGGATTTTTTTTCGTGAAACATCGTGCAATACAGATCCGGAAACGGCAGGGCAAGAGTGCTGAGCTGTGAACGCACGGATCACCGTGAAGAAGCGGATCTGACCAGGTATGGAATCGAATCACATCTCTATGGTTGCGCAAACATGTTGCCTAGCCACCTAGCATAAAAGCCGGCCTGCCCACCGATTCCAATCAGGCTCAGGACGAAGCAGTCGACACCCGAGGCCAGCACGAGCTGCCAAAAATAGGACATTTCATTGTGTCAAGCTGCCTTCTTGACCAACATAAAAGTCTGCAAAAGAAGAGAGCAAACCTGCTGGTGTAAGCTGTGAACTCTCACTGTGAGGTTCTGAAATCAACGCAGCACAGTTTACCTCAACAAGTCTGAGGATTCAGCGATCACGTCACAAATATTCCATCCATCATGAAAGAAAGTTGATCGCCTGGAAGATAACATGTTGGCTTGTTAAAAATCAATGAGATTCAAGCAGACTACAATGATTACAATGATTACAAGTGTCCGACCTCTTCAGCGAGGCCCAACGGATCACAAGTTCGATGATGAAAAGAATGACGAAGAGACTCTCGAAAATAAACCTGAATAGTTGCAGCGAGCGTGTGTAGTAGCACGAAGCCTCTGAAGAATCTGAGTCACCGGCCATATTATGCTATTTGCGTCAGTTTCGAAATCCTGGCTGTGGTGTATTTTGCCTCCCTTACCTCTTTGGCTTATTAACCAAAGCATCAGCCTCGTTTAAGTGTGTCCAAGTTCGAAAATGCACCTGTCTCTTTCCCTTGTTGTCAAACATACAACTAGATATGTAGCCAAGGAATTTTGCTATGTGCAGCAAAAGCATCTCGAAGAAAATGATGAACAGTGGTCGCCAGTGCGCGTCGGCTAGAAAAAAGCATAATAAAGCAAATTAAGCATATCGATAGTTATTGAACAATTTTTCCGGTTCCCCGAGAAATGTATGTGTGTGTGTGTTGCAGAGCTTGTGCTCAACGTCGGCTCTGCCAGCAGTCGAGGGGTATGGCACTGTCTGAGATACACGGAGTTGAGAAGCAATGCCCGAACCATGACAAGCTGGTGAGAGGCGAGAGCCCAACAAACCCTTTCAAAATACGTTACATGTGTACCCTCTAAAATGTGTGCAGTAACGTTTCTGTACAAAGCTTGGGAATGTTCAATTTTCCATCTGGCTGATCCACATGTCAGTCTCTACCTTTCTTGCTCTCGGTCTCTCCACTGACTTTACTTAAGTCAGATTAATCATTATTAATCAAAGATCTGTTCACAGGTTCTTTCCGTGTTCGATACTTCACCTGGGGACCGGATTCACTTTGTATACTTTGTGTGAGCTGCTGCTACGTCATCCTACGTCCTCATTCTTACGCCTACCCAACAACTGCCTGCTCCAATCCAATGATCAAAATGTTGAGAAACCTTGGAATGGAAATCGACACCAAGTGAGACCTACAAAGCCGTCACACAATGGCGACATTAGTGCAAGCTTCGGATTCGCTTGAGGCACGTGCGTTGTCGCGAGAACAAATATGTTAAATGGAAGTCGGTCAGTCACAGGTAGGTCTACCTGGAAAATCCATGTTTTGCACACGGGCACTGAAGTGGCATCAAGTTCAGCACCTTTCGAAACCTTGAGACAAAGAATAACCAAGAACACGATATGTTCATCAAAGCTCGCTGACCCGTCCATGCCTCCTGCTGCGCTTCCTCCAAGACAGAAAGCTCAGAAATGAAGATCGAACAATATCAATCCGCAAAACCGCAGTAAACTTACTCATTAAACTCTTTACGGGTCTGAATGTCAAACATGTCAATCTCTTGCAAGGCTCCCAAGCTCCGAGCCTGATTGGGGCGGCCTGCAAGAACCAGGTGCACCAGGCAAAACATCTCTTGAATTTGCAAAATCTGGCCGCTGCTGCTCAAAGGGACCACAGGCAAACAGATTGCAATCGGACTCCTTCTTGACCGTCTTTGTTCTGCGCTTCCTCAGTTGCACAAGGATCAATGCTCGAATTGAAATCTATAAGAATGTCCAATGCCACGTTTCAATCCATCATAAAACTGGGCACAAGTCACATCACTCACATCACTCAAACGGCGGCCTATCCCCAAGCTCCTCGCGGGATCCGCATTTTTGCCCGGCTTTCCAATGTTGTCAACCTCATCAGTTTCTCACACAGTGAAAAATCAGTATCACGCCCATTCCAAATTGCACACTGCCTCTGTCACACTTACAAACGCTCGTATTTTGTTTTTAATCACAGCGTTCTCTCTTCGCCAACTGTTTCCGTTTGAACTGAATCCATATACACGGACAGCACAAGGTTTTTCCTGCCTGCACCGTTCGGTAGCCACCCTTGAGGGCCTCAAAATAACTGAAATTAAATAATGAATGACATGTTGCTTCAACAAAATTACATGGATTCATGATTGTCTCAACGACAGTCAAAGAATGTCAAAGAGATGACAAGATCTTGGGCAAGATCTTGTCAGAGTGCCAGTGAGCTTGCACACAGCTGCACAGGTGCCACAGGTCCGGACCCGCTCGTTCTTCGCAACGCCCTTGTCTTCCTCTGGCTTTACCTTCCCCTTAGCACTGCAATCTTTGCACTAAAACACAGCACATCTGCACGCTATGAAACGCTGAGGTGGTAGCCTTTCCTTTTGCTTTTGGCTTTGCTGTTGCCATGAAGCTTGAATTGCCCGCGTATGAGCATCAACACATCAAAACACTGCTCTGTCGCTAAGGCCAAAAAAATGAGGTTTTAGGGCTGGTCAATCCGTTTGCAGGGCACTCAGTGTACCTTGCGAATTTGCTCAATGCTTTCGTGTGAAAGATCTGTGACCCAAGGGAGTGGTTAGCTTGAGCGAAAAGTCTAGCAACAGGCCGGCATTAGTCACTGAAGCCATTCAGCAGTGAGACAACCAGGATCTAGATGCATGTATGCTGCATGTATTATGAAATAGTTGAGTGTGGCATGACTGTTATACAAATCTGACAAACCAAAAATCAACCAACTATATACAAGAGTCCCAGATGTTTTAGGCGCATTTTTTGACCTGGGGCCTAGGGTATGCTGAGTCTTACTTATCTCTTTAAGCGGGCAAGGCACAGGCATGCTGTGGCATCATAAGTCACTGGGGATCAGTCCAGGCTCCTTTGAAATCGTTTAGAGATGTTTAGAGTTTACAGGAATAAGGAACTGGCCTGGCCTTGACTTTCTTGACTACATCCTGACTTATATCTCTTTTTTAAACCTGGTCCTACCATGTCCTACCAAAGTAAGCAAACTTCTTTGATGTGATTCTGTAGCTTGAAAGGGTTCCAACATTCAAAAAAAAGAAAGCTGCACAAACAGTTGAAAGGAGAACAGCTTGGATTTTCCCAAAAAAAATATGGCTCAGTGAAGTCCAAAGCTACACAAATCAAATCGTCCAATCTCAATGGTGCAACTGTGACAGAAATGTCTGAAATGCCAGAACGCGTCTCAGGGAAGATATACTGCTGGCTTTGCATTCAACAACTCGTGGGGCATGGCATGGTAAATTTTCTGGAATGACAAGCTTTGCACTGTTGGACAATGCTTTGCCAAGGTTGGTTTTCATGATATTATCCTCTAAGCATTAAGCATCTTTCTACTTTTCAACACCCGTTGTGACCAGAGTCTAGAAACAAATGCAGCTGCAACGCAAACAGCTGAAGACCTGCAACCCCCATCAGATTGAAAGGATCAGTCCTCATGTTGGCTCTTCAGCAATCTCAAGCGCAGAACCTCCATTCGGACTTGTTTCAAAGTGTTTGCTCAAACAAAGCCTCGAACGCTGCGCCTCATTCGAGACGTTGGTAATTTCTTCATGATAGGCGATTGCTTGCGGAACCTCGAGTATTTTTGCAAAGTGAATCTGAAAAGGATGCTCTGCCAAACAAAACGCTCATAAGGATTCATGAAGTTATGATAAGGTGCAAGCCTCAACAGAGTCAAGAGCACCTCAGGACTTCTCACTCCTCATGAAAGGAGATCTGTGGCAGAAAGATCTGTATACAGTAGAATGTATACAGATATATGATATACAGATACACATTGCAAACGCGCACAATCTACCTCGGGCTACCCACAGATTCAGACCGGTAGTGATCTCTTAGTGATTTGTGATCTCTTAATGATCTCTATGTAAGACCTGCTGGAGGTTTTCAGAAGCTCTAATGACACTAATTCTGAAAGGGTCTGAGTCTTGGTCAGACCTTTCTAGCTCTCAGCTGGAAGTGTTGCTCAAGCATATAAGAATTATCTCTCAGCGTCCATGCAAGGGGAGAGGTTCAGATCTTGTTGATTAATTTGTCGTCCCTTTTAAAACATTAGGACCTGCACTATCGGGAAATCCATATGGACTTCCGGGTTTCCAAAACTGCCTCTTCTGCCAGATCTGACAGAATCAAATCATTCAAACTTTAGATAATTGATAAAACATGTGGATCATGTGGAAATATTGCCACCAAAGGACTTTGGTATCTGCATTGCTTTATTGGGGGATTGCCAGAGCCAGAGAGCCATTGTCTCGCTTACTGTGAAACTGCATATTGGGTTCGGCAAATTACATCTTCACATTTGAGGTCGGCGCAGGGAGCGCTCTCCAGCGGATAACTGCAGCAGTCAACATGCCCCAAACCAAAATGGGGGAAACAGGACGGAAAGGCTCTGTATTCGGACTTCTGAGGTCTCAAAATTTCTTTCAAAACATGCGCTCTACAAGGACTAATGTGCTCCCGATCTCTGCCTCCCTGCACCTTCGTCGGCTGGCATCGCTTGGCAGGTTTGAGGCTTGCAGGTTTCCCGCGTGTCTTGCAGCCCAGGGTGCTCTGTGTGCTCTGACTCTGTGCTGCGCACCTGCTCAAACACATGTGTCTGGGCTTGTGCTGTCTGCGCGAGGGCTCCGACAGCTTTTTGCCCGGATTGTGCTGAGTGCTCACTCTGCTGACTGTGCTGATGGCTCACACCATCTAGCAAGGCAGCCTTAGAGCTGGCATCGCGTCCCAAATTTACAGCACGCAATCCCTTACCCAGTCGACCTTCTGCCCCATTGAAATCAAAAAAAACATGATCTTTAGCTATCTGTCCTTTTGAATCTTGGACTTTGTGTTTCGTCTTGCCTTTCTTCCTGTGTTTCTGCACTTTTCTCTTTGCTTCTCTTTGCTTCTGTCTTTCTGTCTTCGCTTGTCACATTTTGGTCAAAGCGATCGGCGTCGCGGCAAGCTGATTGTAGACGTCGCTGGATTTCTGCCACTCGCCTCCAAGGTGCTGGCCACAAGTTGCACAACTGGTTAACCAAAGACACCCAAAAACAATGGCATCATTTGGCATGATTGATGTGCGTTTATAAACCGTTTATAATATAATGATATGTTTGAATATGTTTGATGTGTTAATGATAACATAAGGCATGCATTCCTCACACAGAGGAAGGCACTCAGATTGGGCAGACCACAGACGATCCCAGCCAACACCTAATCTTTGCAGGAGGGCACAAAGTTAATGCTCACTACTTCAAGCAAGTCTCAGCCAATTCCAATGCAAAACATGCTGCTGTTCGAACTCAGAAGTCACTCCCATCTCACTGGATTCAAACATGCAACCGAGCTTAGAGAAGCACCCTTTTCTATCTCTACACCTGCAGAAATGATGCAATGAGCAGAGTTTGACCAGCACTCTGGAGCATCAGCACTACGAGCTGAATGTCAAAGAAACCCGGATACAAAGATTTGAAGGCTTTAAGGGAAGGTTGTTGAAAGTCGTGCTGAAGTTGATCTCATCTCCAAAATATGCTGGCCTTCCATCGCAGCTTGCATGGCTTGAATTCTCGAGCCCGCATTTTGACACCGGATCTCACATCTATCCCTACCGTGCCCTGCACCTGTCTCAAACCCAAAAGGCAGCCTTTCACATCTTTGGGTTACGAAGCTATCCCCTTTTGATCTCTTCTGTCTCTGTGAGGCAAACCCTTGCAGCCTTGCAGCCCAAGTTGTGTTTTTTTTCCTTGCTAAACTGCAATACACAAATTAGGACACCTACGCGGGGCCTACGCAAACCACTCCTCCCAAGCAAAACTGCCTACGCGAGGGTTACCTTTCAAGAAGTGCCTACGCGGTTGCCTCCGCGAAAGTTGCTGCAACGATCTCTTTACTTGATGTGATGTGATCACAATTCTGGTTCAGAAGAGGAATAGAAAGAATTGGAAGATGACGATTCTTTGGGTGACTTGTGAAAGGAAGGCAGAAGCCTCATCAAGAGTGGAGCACTGTGTCATGATGTGATCGGCAGTCATGATGAACTCATGGAAACATTAGAAAAGTGAAACGGTAAGACTTTGATGGGCTACGGGCCACAATTTGACCTAGGGCCTCCGCGTTTCCTACGCGAGGGCCTACGCGGAGCCTACGCGAAAATCCGAACCGAAAATGGCTGTTCGAAAACTTGGCACTTGTAATTTTCTGAAAAAGCGCTTGTTTCTTTAATCTCCCCTTTCTTCCAGCTAAACATATGAACCATACAATCCAGTTTGCATTTAAAATCATTGTAGGCCACCAAGAAAAACAAGAGTTCGAGGTCAGAAACAAACAATCTAGAACATCCAAACAAGTGCCTACGCGAGACTGCCTACGCAGCCTCTCCTACATTATCCTACGTATATGCCTACGCGAAACCTACGCACCAAGCAGAATAGCCTACGCATGAATGATGTGAGTTCCTCCTCAATCTAAATTCCATCATC